AGTCAGGCTCGGGTTTTGCCAAAATAGCCCGGCCCGGCCCAACCTATAGTTAAACCTAAGTAAACCCGACCCGACCTATAGTTAAACCTAAGTAAAAACCCTATGTGATGTCCATTTGAATACTTTTTTTGATTTGAGAAGGTTGTTGATTCACTTGTAGGCCCATTGTTCATTTAAATAGGGGAAAAAAACATCCGAATTAAAATAGATAATGTCTATTTGAATAGGGAAAATTCGAATTTCTTTTATTAGGTCGGGCTTCAGGCTCAGGCTCGGGCTTTTTATCAGGGCCGGGCTCGGGCCCAAGTTGTAGGCCCATTGGTCGGGCCGGGCTCGGGCTCGGGCCTAACATTTTTCTGTTAGTAAAGAGTCAAAGCCCGGCCCGGCCCGACCCATGAACAGGTCTACTTATGGGGGTGAGGGACAAGGAGGGGTGCCCCATCCCGTGCATCGCATGGGCCCCCGCTAGTTATAATATATATTTTAACTTATTTATACCTTTGACACTTAGGCCCCATTCATTTAGCGTAAATAAGAGGGGGAAAGTTGGTTAATGGGTATTTCTTTCCCATTAACTAACTTGTACTAGGCCCCATGGTAAAGAGAGTTTCATTTACTCTGGTAAAACCTGCCCATCTCCTAAGTAGCAGGTAAATAGCTTTCCCACTTGGGGAAAAAAGTTTATAACACATAATGGAATAAGTTCTCTCTTTTTAACATTAGCTTTATGGGTAAAAATGTCATTATATTACTTATTTGGGAATGAAAAGAACATTTGTAAGTAAACTTACTTGAATAAGTGTTACCTTGAAAACATTTACCTGAGTAAATGCATTTACCCCAATAAGTGAGAAATTTGTAAATGAGCAAGGCCTTAAATTTAGTATTATTGATGCATAAACTAGTTCTCTTTAGACCAAGGATACCAGAATCGCGAAGGGATCCCAGTGAGGACAATATAGATTGTTCTTTTAAAGTCCGGTTCAACTGCACGATATTTTATGGATGCAAATTGTTTCAGGTTCCAATATTTGATTGAAAATAGCCGTTAATCCCTAAATCTTAATATTTGGTGTTTGAGTGGAACAAAAGGAATGAATGTGTTGTATTTATCGACATGTTGAGAAGTTTCGAACCTTAGGCTCTATTTGTTTGCCAATGCAAAACTATGGTAATGCAAATGATTTGAGTGTAAATTTCGATTTATTTTTGTTTCAAGTTTTAATGCATATTATTTAATTGAAGTATAAATAAAATAAAATTCAAAACAAAAATAAAATAAAATGTGTAATCTTTTTATTTACACTCTCATGCATTTATACTAATACAAATAAAATTGCACTGCAACTAATTGCAGCTTTAGGCTTAGTTTAGAAAAGGGTGAAAATACAAATGGTACAAAAACAAAGTTTACACATACCATATACTGTACAAATGCGTATTAGTTTGGAAAGAATACAAATACATTCAAAATAAAACAAAATACAAGGTTTTGTATTTTACATTTTCATATTTGTACTCCTTCCTAACTGAGGCTTATTTTCAAACTACAATCAATAAGCTAGGGTCATTGGGAGATGAATTGGTCGGACCTGTTGGTTCACTGTAGCTAGCCTAGCTAGGATTGTGTCAGGCTCCCTATGAATTAAGTAGGCGGAGATTCCCAATCCAATGGCCTGCACCCACGGCCGTACAATCCTACTCCACCTCTAGAAGCCTAGACAGCAGCACCACACATTCTTCCACCTCCCTATCAAGTAAAGACATTCTGAAACTGGGACTCCAACAAATCTCTCCCTGCCTCCATTCAAAGCATTGGGCTATTGTTACCTCCTTCCTACTTAACCTGTATAATCTTGGACAAAGCTCACAGAATCTTCCCACATTCAGCCACTCATCCTCCCCAAATCTAATGCCAGACCCATCCCCTGCCTTCGAATAAACAAATAGTTTTACCAACTCCTAAAACTTCATGTTCCCATTCCAATTTTCCAAACACTTGTCCCATAAGACGAAGTGACTTCCCAAGAATCCCACCCAAGAAACAAATGGTTTTACTGTTTCATGTACTAGATCAACACCTAAAAGTGTAAAATAACCTGGCATAGATTGTCTAAGGAAGAATATGCCCAATCAATATCAGTGAAGCCCAAGATCCTCAACCTGAAGAACCTTTCAAATACATGCTAGGGTCATCAACTAATTCCCCTTGGCATGCGACAAATTTAACACCAGGATCTATAGGAGTAGAGCACAACTTGGACCCTAGATCTTTGTCTCTAGGAAATCAAGAAAAATTTACATGTTGATGTGAATTGAAACCCTAAGAAAACATTGCCACTTCCAAAGTCTTTTTATGTGAAACCTCCCCTGAAGAAGAGACTAAGTTCATTGATATCATATTCATCATCTCTTGTATAACAATATCACCCATGGAACAACCAAAAGAAGAGCTCTTACAAAATACTAAGTTATTTGATTAACACTTCTTCAAAAAAAAACCAATCACATCTTTACTAAATTAGTCAAACTAGACAAAAGGGCATTGTTTATGCCATAGAGAGTGTTGTTAAGATGACACACCATCCCAAAATACACCCCCCTAAGCAATAAATCCAAGAGGCTGTTCTATAAAAGCCATTGTTAACATCACGTTGAGAATGAATAAGTAGCTGCCAAAGAGATGATAATGCAAAGAAAAGCTAACATGGCATAGGGGGGAAAGG